GAATGGCCGACCAAGGCGTCGGCCATCGGCAACGACGGGCTACGCTCGTGGCGCCGAGGACGGCGGAAGCGGCTCGACGAGTGGCAATGTATCCCTCATGAGGCCCTGCGCGATGAGGGACGCGACCATCATCTTCGACGTCGGCGAAGCGTGACGTCGCCGTCGCCGCAGACGAGGCCCTCGTTTCGGCCGCAGCCGCGTCGCCCGCCGTCGGGCGGCACGAGCGTCGAGGGCGTGTCGTTTGGCGACGGCGCGCATGAAGACGGCCGAGACGTGCGCGGGGCGCGCCGGGCCGGCGGCGCGTGCCAGCCCTGGAGGCGGCGCTGCTGGAAGGCGGCGGCCGTCTGGAGGTCGGCGAGGTCGAGGGTTGCCGCCTTGCGCGCCGGCACGCTGGGGTCGACGTTTGCGTCGGCGTCGGTCAGGGCGTACGTCAGCAGGAAGGTGCGGCGCGCGAGCGAGCGCCAGAGCAGCGGCCGCGGGCGGTGCGTCAGCGGAAGCAGGAGGCCGCGCTCGAAGAGCCAGTCCTCGTGCGCCGCCAGCGTATGCTGGTACAGGACAAAGTCGCCCTGGCGAATGGCCGACGCGAGAGGCGCGAACACGGCCGCGAGCTTGTCAGAGGCCTCGGGCCGGGAGAGAAGGCTCTGCGTGGGGAGTCGGCCGAGGAAGAGATTGGCAGGGATGAGGTAGGTGAGGATGCGGTGTCGATGTGACACCAGGGGCGCCGGCGTCTGGCTGTAGGCTTCCTGGAGGCAGAGCGAGGCTCGGACGTAGTGGCTGTTGGAGAGGTTGAAACGGCCGAGGTAGAAGAGAAAGGTGACGCGCTGTGCGGCGGGATATAGGGACAGTGGCGGTGAGTTGGACGAAATGTTGGTGAATATCTGCTTCGCAAGCTGGGTCCGGCGGCAGGCGAAGAGCAGCTTCAGCACAAGGTTGGCGAACATGTAGACGCCAATCTTCTTTCCTTCCGGTTTGCTGTAGCGCGCACTTGTGCGATCCGTCAGGCACGTGGTGAATATCTTCTGAATAATTTCAGCCGATGTCTCGGCAATGGACTTGCGGTCATCGGCTTCAACATTGCGCAGCCGCATGGTCAGGTCAGGGCGGCGACTGACCATCATGGTCAGCCTAGACATGGTCTCGCATAATGACATGGCCGTCTTGAGCAGCATGCCGCCATACGTGGGATGGGCGAAAGCCGTTCCACAGGAGCTGTGCGCCGTCACTCCGTCAGTCGCATCCAATACCCAAGCACAAGGGCTACTCACTTGACCAATCCACTGAGCAACGTGTGTGCCGCCAGCAGGTTATCAAAGTCCACATCTCGCCAAAACAAAAGATAGTCCTTCATGAATGTGACAAATCCAGGCCATGGCGTGGCCTCGCCTTCTGAGACGTCGTCATCTTCGGGAAGACACTTCTCGATCGTCCGTTCGAGAGCCGTGCTATCTTGTTGACGGAATCCGGTGCGAAGCTGCGCGGCAAGGTTGTGGTAAGTCTGTGAGGCGTTGGGTTCAACCAGCAGCCAGTTGCGAAGCTCGTCGCCGTTTTGCTGGCGAACAAAGGCCCTGATTTGTGTGAGGAATTCAATCAGGAGCGTCATTGGCGCAGAATCGAGCGTGGTCGCCGCGAATCCCGACGTTGGGTATTGTTTGTAGTGCTCTGACAATGAGAGATGTGGTAACCTAAAGGTAAGTCGCGGTCTTGTCCCCAGTTGATGAGCCCGGTGGCCCGGTGAGAGGTTGCGATTGGTCGGTGTGATTCGGTCAATTGACTGGTCCCACGCGGGGTTCAATGTTCAATCCCTGGGTACCTACCTAGGTACGCAGACATGCTCCTAGTGAGAAACTCATGCATGTCAACGATAGGTTCTTCAATTCAGCCCTCTCATTTGGCCTTGCCTATGGTCGTTGTCGAGTCTGAAGATGTGCTGAGCACCGCGGACCATCAGGTGCCTCGCCAAAATTGATCATCCAAATGTCATTACGGTATCTACGTCTAGAAACTCTACACTGACTCGATGCGTTGCACTACCAGGGCTGTCGCAGCACCTCCGCCGTTGCAAATGGCCGCAACACCATACTCACCAGGCTTCAGCTGGTGCAGCAGAGTCGTCAGAATCCTCGAGCCCGAGCTTCCCAACGCGTGTCCCAGCGAAATAGCTCCACCCAACGGGTTCACCTTCGCATTCTCCAGTCCCAGGATCTAGAGAACAACGATTAGCGATTGGTTCACGACTGGACAGCAGAAATTGACTCACCTTCTCATTGGCCTTGATGACGGCCGCAAACGCCTCGTTGAACTCCCAGATGGCCACCTGGTCCTTGGTGATTCCAGCGCGCTTCAGGGCAATGGGGACTGCAGATGCTGGTGCGATGGGGAAATCGATGGGGTCGACAGCCGCGTCGGCCGAGCCGCAAATCTTCGCAAGTACCCTCGATCCGGATCCGTACTCTCGGGCAATTTCCTTGCTGCCCAGGACAAGAGCGCTTGCGCCGTCGTTCAGGGTAGAAGAGCTGGCGGCCGTGACGGTGCCAGTTCCATCCCGGACAAAGGCGGGCTTCAGCGTCGGCAGCCTCTCGAGCTTGACATCGTTGAAGCCTTCGTCCACCTTGATAATGGTGTCGCCCTTTCGGCTAGAGACCGTTACCGGGGCGATCTCTTCATCAAAGGCATTCGCCTTCCACGCGGCCTGCGCGCGCTCGTAGGACTGCACAGTGTACTGATCCTGCATCTCTCTCGTGATTTCGTACTTCTTGGCTGTGCTCTCGGCGCAGATGCCCATGTGGATATCGTCGTAGGCATCGGTCAGACCATCCTTGATCAAGCCATCCTCCATCTTGACGTGCCCAAACGACGGAAGGTTCGACGAGCGAGGGACATAGTAAGGTACCCGCGTCATGTTCTCCATGCCGCCGGCAATCTGGGCTTCGGACAGGCCGAGTTGAATGTTCTGCGCCGCCATGACAACCGCCTTCAGGCCAGAGGCGCAGACCTTGTTGATGGTGATGGCCTCAACGCTCGAGGGGAGTCCGGCGAAGATGGCAGCTTGCCGAGCAGGAGACTGGCCAACAGAGCCCTGAAGGACGTTTCCCATGTAGACATCGGTAATCTTGGACACGGGTACTTTGGACTTTTCGAGGGCCGACTTTATGGCGACGGCGCCCAGTTTCGGGGCGGGCACGGTCGTGTAGGAGCCGTTGAACTGCGGAACAAACACTCGTTAGAGCTCAGCTGACACGAGTAGTATCAATCACCACGAACCTTGGCCGTCGGGGTTCTGGCGGCGCTGAGGATGTAAGCATCCCGAATCTCCTGCTGAAGCGCGGTTCGCGTGGAGAACGGACGAGCGGCGAATTGCCTGGCCACCTGGCCAGAGAGCGCCGTCGTTCGCCAGAGCTGCATGACGGTCATTGTTTTGAGCGAAGTAGAGGCGTGGACAGCGAGGTTGTGGTACGGGCGAGTTCGCAAAGTCTGTAATGGCGAAAAGAAAAGGAAAGTTGGGAGGGCGTCACAGGGGACATGTGAACGCGACCTTACCCCGGATTTGATGGCGACCTCGGGCTGCCTCGGCTTAAGAATGACCAACTATCTCGGGAACCTGCGGGGGGAGGCGGGGATTGACGTTGGCTGCTATTCCCATCGGCCCCGCACCCTGCCCAAAAGGCTCCGAGTCCGACGCTGTGGGGGTTGGGGTTTGGGGGGTTCTGGGGCACTTCTCGATTTACTGATTCCGAGCAGAGCTGGATCATACCCTCCGGGTATGAGCCGAACTTCCTGCATGAAGTCACTATTGTCAACGGCTCGGCCTCTGGTTACTTAATGCTTTAGCCAAGGTAAAGCGGCTGGATGGTTCGTGCTCAACATGTCACTTTCTTCGCGTCAGGCAAGCTGTTTGTTGTATCTTTAGAACGGCCCAGTAACCCCCTGATGTCACATCGTTTCCCGGAATCCAGAATGGCACAAAACCCAGCGTACCTATGCCACCAGTCCACAACATTGGCCTTCCGGCTACTCGAGTCGCCTAGCAGTGGCTTCGGCGCTCCGTTCTGGCGATACAGTAATATTCAACTGTTCATGCAGTGTTCTGGATAGCGGTGCGGTTCCCTTACAACACTGACCTATCCTAGTTAAGATGCTCAATTTCACGCACCTGGGCTCTTCCTCTGTCTATGTCTCTCCCATGGTCCTCTGGATGATGAGAGTTGATCGCCTCACTTCCACTGAGTCCTTGAAAGCGAATACGGGTTGCAAAAACGCGTGTATGACAACGGGGCTCTCTGGATCCTCGACCATGACAGCGTACCTGGGAAGCAACGAGCCCAGAAGACCCCTGGCTCGTTGATGGCTGGGCCTACCGTGATCTATCAATGACAGTCACTTCCAGCCTCACCCTCATCCAGTCTGATTGATGGGTTCCTTAAGCACATGGCGTGAAGTCTATGACTTTGCCATAGGTCTCGCTCCTGCCATGTGGCTCTGACGAAGGTGCTGGGCATCTAGCAGGTACCAATGGATCTATAAGCGCGTTGCAAGCGTTAGCTGGATCGCATCCCGCGTTGCCCTCTTTTGGGTAACTTCCAACCTTCCTCCCAAAACAAACGTTCCCGACGGCCCATGATAGACTACAATGTGTTTGCATTCGGGGATACTTTGGACAAGAGCACTACATGACACGAAATTAAGCTGTGCTCTATGGGGCCAGGAAGGTAGATAGACATCTGAGAGGAAAAGCGTCCACCGTATATGACATGCCGGGGTTCAGAGCCAGATCGCGGTATGACGAGAGCAACGTCGGGTACGCGTTCGATTGTTAGATTACCGAAACGGAATTTTTGGGCCGTGCATGGATTTAGACACAGCCCAAAGCGGTGCAGAGTCGGTATAAGATTCCAAATCGCGCAACGCCTCATGGGAGCAACATCTTCCTCTGCCGTCATGGAAGGCTGTCTCACAACTCGCCATGTGCAGTAAACTCTCTGGACTCTTCTGGGCGAGGGAGGGGGCAGTCGTGCTGCGGAACGGTAAGAAGTCCCACGATGTCACGATGCCTCCCAAGTGAGCAATACCGTAGATGCTCGACCTGCTTCCATCTCCCACTTCGCACCATCAAGGTAGGCCGATAACCGAGTGGATGATAGCAGCCTCTATAATCGTCCTCTGGATGTTGGGCATTGCATACCTTGATCCGCTTCAACCGTTGTCAAAGACAGCGAGCGACTGTGGCGATTGGCCGCTGGGGCGCTTTGAGCGCGCTGATTGGCCATCGAATGGCCTCGCCCGCCGGCGCACGATGAGCGGGTTCTGATGAGCGTTGCACATCTGATGGCAAAGCACCTTGTCCTGTCTTCAGCTCAGGCTTCCTTTCCTTCAACCTTCTGCCAAACCCACCTGACAAATCTACTTCGTTTCGCCCCTGCAATCCACCCCCGACGAACCTCATGCGACCCGACTACACTCCCCTGTTTTAAATAACTGAGCACGCACGAGATAGATCGGGACATCATCACTCGTTGCCAGTGCTTTTCGGGATCTGGTCATCCTATCGCCAAAGCAGCCATCTACCCATCTGTGCACGCTCTGACCGACAAGCCAACATCCGACAGCATGTCTACAGCCGCCAGGCGTCGCTTGATGCGCGATTTCAAGGTGCGTCGCACGCCAGAGCATCATCGCTCCGATGCGTCAACGTGTTTCTAACTTTGGACGGTAGCGAATGCAAACAGATCCTCCTGCCGGCGTTTCCGCCTCGCCAGTACCCGATAACGTCATGACATGGTACGGCGAACCACCTCACGTGGATGATTTGTTTTTACTCACGACGGAGAAACAGGAATGCTGTGATCATTGGTCCCGCCGACACGCCATTCGAAGACGGCACGTTCAGACTGGTGATGCAGTTTGAAGAGCAATACCCAAACAAGCCACCTGCCGTCAAGTTCATCAGCCAGATGTTCCACCCCAACGTCTACGCTACAGGTGAACTCTGTCTGGATATTCTGCAGAACCGTTGGAGCCCGACATACGACGTGGCAGCTGTTCTCACCAGCATCCAGAGTCTACTGAACGACCCCAACACGGGATCACCAGCAAACGTCGAAGCCTCGAACCTGTATAAGGACAACCGAAAGGAGTACACGAAGCGGGTGCGGGAGACGGTGGAAAAGAGCTGGGAGGACTAGCCGTGCTCGGCGCTGGACAACATGCAGCGAGCCATCTTCAAATACCCTCGTCGAGTATGTGCTTGCCTGTGACAGCCGGCAGTGTGCGAGACGAAACAGAAACATGACGGGTAAGTGGCTAAAGTAACCACTACTCCATCGAGCGCCGGGTTCTTTGTTTTTGCCATCAGGGTTGTCGGTCACTGGTTATTGGCGTCTGGATTGCTTGGGTCTATGCTTTGTTACCATTCGGCGGCGTGGAAAGGGATACGATACGATCGACTACCTATGTACCTAGGGCGGGCAAGATAGCTACAAGAGATGAGATACGAGTGGCATCGATGGCTGCAAATGTGTGGTCTATGATGCTGACACCACAACGTGCCTGGCCACCTTGAGGCGGACATCTGGAGATGCTGCAACTGGAGAGGCTGCAACTTGCAACTTGGCTGCCACCCTACATCACCCCTCACCATGTGATGATGACTTGGGAGTCCCTCAGCCGTGGAATGGGTTGATGCCAATTTCGCGGGGTGGTGACTAGCGCTAGGTATGGCGCATTGCGTCGAATGATTAGCGACCCGCCCACTAAATTCCGCGGTAGGTGACACCTATTCGGCCCCTGCCACAGCGAGGAACTCCCTCGCCCTGACAAGCCTAAGGCAGGCACATGAAACCACCACTGTGGAAAGGTAGTCCTGGCTGCTTGGTTGTTCAATCTCGCTCGCCGTTACCAGGTGCCCACCACCATACCACAGTCAACGCGAATTCCCTCCACACCGCGCCGCGTCCACCGACTTCCCTCCCTCACCCCCTCTCTCCGTGATCCGTCTTTCTCGCCCTTCACCCCCTCCGAAAGACCCAGCTCGCTGTCGAACGATTCCGACATGCGTGGTACTGCTTGACCACGCCCTGAATCCCACGAGCCCATCATTGGCGCACCTCGGGGTCTCCCGCTCTCTGTGTGCTCCGCAACGTACCGCAACGCAACAACAAGCCCCTCCCCCTGATTTCCCGACACCACACCTCGTCGAGTCCTCAAGTCCTCCACCCGAGTTCCATGCTTCGACCCAACACAACGCATCTGCTGGATTTCCTCCGTCGTCATCATGTCTAGCGCCAACAGCATTAAGGTTGTCGCCCGGTTTCGGCCGCAGAACAAGATCGAGTTGGCATCGGGCGGTCAACCGATTGTTTCCTTCAACTCCGAGGATACCTGCTCTCTTGACGTACGTCACCTTTCACAGCTGCTGTGACCTGGAGGTTGCGGATGAGATGCGCAGCTTGCTAACATGTATCTGCCGTCTTTTCAAACAGTCCAAGGAAGCACAGGGCGCCTTTACCTTCGATCGCGTGTTCGATATGGAATGCAAGCAGTCCGACATCTTCGACTTCTCCATCCGATCCACCGTCGACGATATTCTCAACGGATACAATGGCACCGTTTTCGCTTACGGCCAGACAGGCGCTGGCAAGTCCTATACCATGATGGGTTCCAGCATCGACGACGAGGAGGGCCGAGGAGTCATTCCTCGCATCGTCGAGCAGATCTTCGCCAGCATCATGTCCAGTCCCAGCACGATCGAATACACTGTGCGAGTCAGCTACATGGAGATCTACATGGAGAAGATTCGCGATCTGTTAGCGCCGCAAAACGACAACCTGCCGGTCCACGAGGAGAAGAGTCGCGGAGTTTATGTCAAGGGTCTGCTCGAGATTTACGTTTCCAGCGTGCAGGAGGTCTACGAAGTCATGAGGCGGGGTGGTAACGCCCGCGCCGTGGCGGCCACCAACATGAATCAGGAGTCTTCGCGATCCCATTCCATCTTTGTCATCACCATTACCCAAAAGAACGTCGAGACAGGCTCGGCAAAGAGCGGCCAACTCTTCCTTGTCGATCTCGCAGGTAGCGAAAAGGTCGGCAAGACGGGCGCCAGCGGCCAGACATTGGAGGAGGCCAAAAAGATCAACAAATCTTTGAGCGCCCTCGGCATGGTCATCAACTCCTTAACGGACGGCCGATCCTCTCACATTCCGTATCGCGACTCGAAACTGACGCGCATCCTGCAAGAATCTCTCGGAGGCAACAGTCGCACGACGCTTATCATCAACTGCTCGCCTAGCAGTTACAACGATGCCGAAACCATCAGCACCCTGAGGTTCGGAACGAGGGCTAAGGCGATCAAGAACAAGGCAAAGGTCAACGCCGAGCTCAGCCCTGCCGAGCTCAAGTCTCTTCTCGGAAAGGCCAAGGGACAGATCACAAACTTTGAGGGTTATATTTCCAGCCTGGAAGGCGAGATTCAGATGTGGCGGTCTGGAGAGTCTGTCCCCAAAGACAAGTGGGTAGCCCCACTCACCGACGGCCACTCTGCCCCCAAAGCAGAGGCCAGAGCACCTCGACCTTCGACGCCTTCGAGACTTGTACCGGAAAGTAGGGCGGAAACGCCCGCCATCTCGGAGCGCGCAGGGACGCCCAGCCTGCCGCTCGACAAGGACGAGCGGGACGAGTTCCTGCGTCGTGAGAATGAGCTGCAAGATCAGCTTGCTGAGAAGGAAAGCCAGTATGCCGCGGCCGAGAAGGCTCTCGGTGAGACCAAAGAGGAGCTTGCCTTCCTTAAGGAACATGATAGTAGAACCGGCAAGGAGAACGAGAAACTTACAGCAGAAGTCAACGAGGTCAAGATGCAAATGGAGCGCTTGAGCTTTGAAGGAAAGGAGGCACAAATTACGATGGACGCTCTGAAGGAACAAAACTCGGAGCTGACGGCCGAGCTGGACGAGGTCAAGCAACATCTCCTTGATGTCAAGATGAACGCGAAGGAGAGCGGAGCACTTCTCGACGAGAAGGAGAAGAAGAAGGCTGAGAAAATGGCCAAGATGATGGCTGGCTTTGATCTCGGCGCAGATGTCTTCAGTGACAACGAAAAGGCCATTGCGGATGCCATTACTCATCTAGAGACCCTGCGTGAACACAGCTCTGGGGGCGACGCTGTTGCGCCCGAAGAATTCCATATCCTCAAGTCCAGATTTGAGGAAATCCAGAGCATCGTCCGCCAAGCTGAGCTCTCAGTCTATCGCTCATCTTCGAGCGAGGCGGAGACTCGCCGCCGTTTGGAGCTCGAAGACCGGCTTGCAGCCGTGCAGGAGGAGTATGAGTCGCTGCTGACTCGCAATCTGAGCGAGGCCGACGTTGAGGAGGTCAAGGCCCGTCTGGAGAACGCTTACTCGAACAAGCAAACTGCATCTCTGCAGGCTGTGGATGAGCTCAAGGCCGACATTACCCACAAGGCCGCCGAGAATGGCAGGCTTCAGACTCTGATTGATGATCTGCAGCAGCGGGTCAAGGCCGGCACCGCCGCGCCCATGGCCAACGGCAAGACAATCCAGCAGCAGATTGCTGAATTTGACATCATGAAGAAGAGCCTTATGCGCGACCTCCAGAACCGCTGCGAGCGCGTTGTCGAGCTTGAAATTTCGCTCGACGAGACGAGGGAACAGTATAACAACGTCCTCCGGTCATCGAACAACCGGGCTCAGCAGAAGAAGATGGCCTTCCTGGAACGCAACCTCGAGCAGCTGACACAGGTTCAGCGACAACTCGTCGAGCAAAACTCGGCCCTCAAGAAAGAGGTAGCTATTGCCGAACGAAAGCTCATTGCTCGCAACGAGCGTATCCAGAGCCTCGAGAGCCTGTTGCAGGACAGCCAAGAGAAGTTGGCCTCCGCAAATCACAAGTACGCTGTCCCCTGTGCCGTCCCTATTCTTGTCGGCGGTCGTTTCTTTCCTACAATCACCAGACCCCGGTTGCCCTGGGGCTACTCATCCCGCTCTCCCACGCCTCGTTACCGCCTGCAATCCCAACACCCTGTGCACAGTAGTCTCTCTATTCAAGATGTATCTAACGATTGGTGCCTTGTAGATTCGAAGTCCAACTTGCCGCAGTCAAAGAACGCCTCGAGGCGGCCAAGGCCGGCAGCACGCGCGGCCTGAACTCGCCGTCGCTCGGCGGTTTCAGCTTTTCCGGCGCCGGCAGCCGGATCGCCAAGCCCCTCCGCGGCGGCGGCGGCGGCGGCGAGCCCACGGGGCCCAGCATCCCCGTCATCAACAACATTCAGCAGAACGAGGGCGGCAACAAGCGGAGCAGCTGGTTCTTCTCACAGAAGTGAAGGGGACTCGGCGACGAAGGCAACCCGCTTGCATACCAGCAGCGTTCCATCCCGGTCGACGGCACAGCAAAGCGGAGGCAGGATGACGCTGCTTAGACCGCCTTGCATCTGACAATTCTGAGTTTGGACACTGTATTCAAGGCTGTGTGTGTTGTTTGTGGTACATGGCCTGACTGTTACTCCCCTCATCTTCTTTGTTACTATACCACTTGAGCAGAGCGCCGGTTGGGAGGTGCACAGAATTATAGATGTGCCGGCGAAACGGGCATGAGAGCGTGGATACATGGAGCGGAGACAGAGGTCGCGGCTACGCTGCTTTGATTTCACGAGTCGTCAGAACAAAGTATGTGTGGCAAGTTGATGGATGTGCTAGGCTTGGCATTGACGGCCTAAATGAGAGGAAGGGGAAGTGGCTTTTGGCACGATTACATGATGGTTGAGAGCCTCGAGAGGAGAGATAGACCAGAGACCCCCCGTTCCCGCATATATGCCGGACTTCAAGTGTTATGACAACAGAACTCATGAAATAAAACGAATGGATGATACAGCTCCAAAAGCATGTGACTGAAGTGTATGCGAGAAAATCCAATCAACACCAAGAAAATATGACTCGACAGGCTCACTTGCCGGCTCTCTGTTGCTCACGATATGGCTAATTCCAAGAGGAGCATTGAACATCATTGAGGTCAAGGTCTGTCCATCTGAAGGATTCAGTCTGTTCAAAGCGCCACTTTGACCGCAAACTCAGTAGGTATCAAGAGGTAGAGAGGTTTAATGCTTTCGTGTGCTCTGTGCGTGGAGGAGCATGTACTCAGGAATGATCACAGCAGCCATGATGAGAATGCCAGCGATGCCGACCAAGAAGACTTTGACGTAAAGCTGGACAAGACGGCGCCAGGCGGCGGCGGAGAAGGTGTTCCAGGCCTCAGTCATGCTGACATAGCCCTTGCCACCAAGGACAGCTGGGACCACGGCGCCGCCAAAAGAGCGGTCAAAGGGGATTATCGTGTCATCAGCATCGGGCAATAGCGAGGCCTGAACGCGGACGAGAACAACGTGAGCAGGAATGACAAGCAGGACAACAACAGCGAGGCTCGCCAGGACAACAACGACGTCCTTCCAATTGTTGTGATTTGCGTTGATAGCCCCGGCAACCAGAGAAGGTGTGAAGCGGGCGATCTGCGTGACAAGCCACAACAGGGCGACGGGTCGAGCAGTAGCATCGAACGTGCGGCGGAAAGCGGGCGCGCGTGACCAGAACCGAACAGGAGAACGGGGGGTCATGACGATATGAACCCACGCGGTATCCAGCTGAACCAAGGCCAGGGAGGCAGGCAGGAGGGCGAGGAAAGCAAGGCTGGTGGGGAGCACAAGCGTAAATATGACCAGAATGATGGAAGTTAGCAGCGTATAGGCGAAATAGCAGGCAAAGCCGCGGAAGAAGGCACCGAATCCGCCATTAGAGCGAACCAGACGAGTGGTGGCACGGATGCTCGAGGTAATGGGAAGAGTGCGGCCAGCCGGGGTGTGGACAGCAGGAGCGCGGCTAGCGGAAGCGTGGCCAGCAGGAGCGCCAGGAGCATCAGGGACCTTCTTCGGGCCGTTGTGGAAAGCCGCGTCATCAGCGAAGGACGCAGTCTCGTCGTCATCCAGAGAGACACGGTTGTAAGCGTAATCGTTCTCATCTTCGACCATGGCTAGCACGGGAAAGACTCGCTGGAAGGTGTAGAAGGTCTATCAAGTCAGTCGAGTTAATATTTCAGGGTCTTACACAATGGGCACGACTTGAGAGACATACGATGATAAGAAGAGGGACAAAGATGATCCAGTCGATGAGAACAATAAGCAATGACCAAGGAGGGAGCTGATCTTGGGTGGTGTTGGTGTCCCTCTTGGAGAGGGACACCGGACTGTCAGCAAGTCTTCTGTAGACAGCGGTCGCGATAGCGACGCCGGAGCTGACGGGTAGCATGGTGGCTAGGACGCAGAAAGCGATGAAGAAAGCAGCATGGGGGTTTGTGAATGAAAGCGATGCTCAACAGACGTAAGGTTGGGAAGAAGCTAAAGTTCCGAGGTGAGCTATGAAAGTAAGAATGACTGATGAGAATGAAATGCGATTTGGCCTTGTTGCGTGACAACAGTCGCGAAGCGCCCGGCTTGCGGCACAGTCGGGTGGGGTCGTGCAAGGTAACAGATGCACAGCCCCTTCCAGCTTCCATCGCCACCTGCCTACCCGTCTACGTATCTGCCTAACCACCTGCCAGAGGCGAGGCAATGTAAGGTACTTTATGTTAGGTACCTAGCAGGCTGTCATTGAGCTTGCTCCCGAATTAGGCACTGTTGTGCCACTGATAGTTGTTTCAACTCCGGGGATCAGTGAAACCTCGCCCATCCCCTTCCAAGGTACGCAGGGTCGATACCTGGGATAGATATTGTGTCTTCGTCCACACACCCGGCAGCAGCGTCTGTTGTACTCTATGACCATGCCAGTGAAGCCCCTTTGCACATTCGCCACGAAGTACCAAGCCAGAGTCCTATGTACCTTAGGTATGTATCTTCAGAGCTTGGGCAAGATTCTCGATTTTCAGCCCTGTACCTAGCCCCTAGGTGGCTGATGCCACGAGACATGCCAAGAAAGGCAAGGCGCAGGCGGGGTCTGGGGTCTGTCTTCCATTCCTTGTGACATCAACGTGCCGTCAAACACAAGCAGACACCGTAATGTAGCTCCATGTTATAGACACAGCCTGGACAGCATAGCTGCTTAGCTTATGAGGCATCTCTTGAGCTCGTAGGGAATCTCTTCTTGCTAGAATTCATAAATACATCACCGAGACGGCCTCAGGCCTTCGGCGCACACTCCACATCTGATGAGACCTCACCTTGATTCGACGACCACCTACACGTATCCTCCCTGCTGGAGGCTCGTTTCTTGCATGTCAGTCAAGCATACAAACAAACATTGAATGTACGCATGGGAGGTGCCGCAGGCAAGCAGGAGGTGGGTCACTACGACAGGAGATCGAATGGCGGGACATCGAGTACAGGCCTCAGATGGCCGAACGGACATTGATTGTAATTCACAGGATTGTCCAAGAACTACGACTCCCAGGCGCTATTTTCTGTGTTCGTTTCCATCATAATACACGTTGGGTCAAGAGTACGAGCTCTGCCTCAACACAATACTTGTAGCCTCAAAGTTGTATGAATTTAGCAGGTTCCTAAGTACGACTAAGGAAGATCATCATTCATGAACCGGTTGAACGCGCCACGAGTAGTCAAAATTTTGCTGCACAGACGAGAAAGGGTAACATGGACAACCCAGATGTTGTAGCGCGAAGATTGCGACTCAGAGGTTAATAACAACCATAGTTCCGGTGTCAGTAGTGCCTATCTTAAGAGCTAGGTATCTGTGGCCCACTTGTGACACTGGACAGTAAGGTACCATGTAAATCAGCACCCCACCCAGAGCTACACTTGCACTCACTTTACCACTACATGCTAGAAGCTAGCAAACAACATACAACAGTGAAGGAACTCGGCCTACCGAGAAGGAAACGAACGAGCATGTCTCATGATACGATACCCAACCTACTGTCACTCCGCGGACCTCGTTCTGCTAGCGGGCGTGGTCGGACCACAGCCCCCCCAGGCTTCCCCTCGCGAGCCACCAATGACCAGGCCATCCAAGGCACTGACGATGATGCGGCCGCCTCCCGTCTTAGTGCCGTCTCGCTTGGCTATCTCCAGGACTCGTTTGCCCAGTACTTTGTCCAAACACAAGCGTCGCTGGCGCCGCGTCGTCTGCCTATTATCAACAGAGGCGAGTTTTGACCTTCTACCCACCGACGTGCTGTTCTCGTGCTTGAACGCAGGCTGACCTGGTAGTCAGGCACATACACCAGGACATGTGCGCTCAACCAGCTTGTGGACTCATTCCTGGCCGAGGATGATCGTTCGTTTCCGAACCAGTCGAAGGAACGGCAGATCATCTCGCTTGGCGCAGGCACTGACACGCGCATCTTCCGTATTTTCGGAGGGCGGGCGTGTCACAACCTGACATATCACGAGCTGGACTTTCCTGTGACTGTAACCAAGAAGTCGCGCCTTGTGTCGGCAATACCTCACATGAGGCGAGTCCTCGGCGAACAGGTGCCGCAACCGGATGGATCATGGAGCTGTCGCCCGCCTTCTGGCGGAGAGTACTATTGTCATGGCATTGACTTGCGTGAGTTACCTCAAGGCGGGAATTCGCAGTTGAAGGGCTTGAAAAACAATGTGCCTACGCTGCTGATATCCGAATGCTGCCTTTGTTATCTCGAAGCTTCAGCTGCCGAGAGTACGGTCCAATGGTTCGCAAAACAGATTGAGAACCTCGCCTTGGTCGTATACGAGCCCATCCGGCCTCATGACCCATTCGGGAAGATGATGGTTTCTAATTTGGCGGCTCGAAGGATAAGGATGCCCACATTAGAGAGCTACCCCTTGCCGGCGGACCAGGAGGCTCGGCTCCGAACTGCAGGCTTCAAGCATGCGAGCGCGCAAACTATCGAGTACATTTGGGAAAACTGGGTGTCGCCCCAGGAGAGAGAAAGAGTCAACGGTCTTGAGGGCCTTGATGAGGTAGAGGAATGGCAATTACTCGCTGATCACTACGTCGTGGCATGGGCTTGGAGAGGCGAAGGATTCGGTGGCTGGCAAGGTGCCTGCAACAACGATGAAAGTAGGTAGTGTTCCACGGCATACCTCTCCTGGAGGTGCATCGTCTACAAACGCAAGCCCGAAGGTAGGGGCAGAATATGCACGTTCGAAACCTCGTCTGAACTAGTATACACCCATGCAAGGTAACAAAAACAGTCTAAGAGGACTTGCGCTCAAATGCAGTCCACTGGCCTTCGGCAGGCTTCTCCTCCAGATCTTCCCAACTGCAAAACACGTTAGCGTGAGCTCCAAGAGTTTGTGCAGCAGTCCAGCCTTACACTTTGGACCTGACCATAGTATCGACTAGGCCAAGCTCGCCCTCAGCCACCTGGATAACCTCCTCAATGAGACCCGCCCCGATCTTGATCTCCAGCTCGGCAATCCTGTATCCAGTCAGTCAGTATCGATATACCCGATTGACGCGCCAGGGAGATGTGCGTACTGGTCCGCCGTCAGCTGCGGCTCCTCCTTCCACTGCAAGGGTTCCTCGGCTCTGAGATCTTTGCGCTCGGCGAGCACCTTCTGGTCAGCCCTCTCAGCCTCCGTCCTCAAGCCCTCAGACCCAGGACCCTCATCAGCCTCGCCGTCCCACTCCTCAAGCCGGATATCACCCTCCTCGTGCTGCTTGCGGACGATAAATGTCTTGTTACCCAGCTTGACAATGCGGGCTTCACTGCCGTCGAGACGCCCGCTGGCGACACGGAACTGCTCAGGGTTGCCACCCAGCTTCTGGGACAAGTCCTTGTTTTCGGCGTTCCACTCCTCGTAGCCGGGCGGCACGGCGGCCTCAACGAGCGCGAGGCGATGCTTGGTCACTGCTTCAACCGATTGGCGGTAGAGGGAAGACTCAGGCATCTGCTTGAGCCTGTCGAGAGTGCTTCCGTAAAGGTAGAGCAGTGCGGACCGGGGGCTGTTGTGCGTCCAGAGACCTGTGAGGCCTGTCGGGGTGCCGGGCTCAAGGTAGCGCGCCTTCTGGACGCTTGCCAGGAGGCGGAATGTTTGCCGCATCTTTATGGGCTGTCTGTCGATCGTCGGATGCGCGATGGGTGGTGATGACTGGCGGTCGTGATCAGGACATACAATGTCGAGCAACAGTTGGACCGAGTTGATGGTTAGACTTTCGATGGTCAATTGGCGAAAGCTGATTGGTAAAGTGGAGATGTTCTGGAGGATGACGGTCCATTACTAATGATTCACGTGATGGCCGGCCGCGGGGACCCATAGTTTACGCCGATGCGCGTGGGCCATGTTCGGTCTTGTCTGAAGTCAAGGGGGCTTGAGCATCAAGATTTCGAGTTCCGCTCCCCCAAACTTCCCAGGGTATACAAACCTGGGCCTGCCAATGGCGGACCTCCAGTGGGATATGGCATCCATGGAACTCACTCAGTAGGCGAAATAATCTGCCAGCCATTAATGATATCGCTTAAGTTCAACAGTATCAGGGCGAGAACCTCCAGAATCTCAGCATGCTGCTGTTTATCCCAGTCACATCAAGCACGCGAGGCATGTCAGTGGTACAACGGTTCACAAGTAGGAGAAGCTTTAGCTGCTACAGAAATAGAATCTCGTGCACACCCAACATCCGAATGCGACAAAAAGAGGTCATGCACGACCCGGCCGTGCCATCTTACAAAACTAGGTTTCGATCCTTGAGTATCGAAAAATCAACATGGGCATTCCGGCTGCGACTTACTCCCCTTACGCGGCGTTCTCACGGCTCTTCCGGTAGCTGGTCTATTTCAATAAGTCAATACTCCATGCCATTCGCAGAAGTCGTCGTATGACCTACCTCTTGCTCAACCTGGAGGCCATCCACCACAGGCGCCAGTTCGCTTAGGATTTCGTAGGCCTTCTTGTGATATTCAATCTGCGCCGCGATTAAGTCTGCCAGGTTGCGAAGAGGCTCAGGGGTGTCGAGAACCTTCATCTTCGAATTAGCCTTCTTGATCATGATCATGTCAGACAGCCTGGTTGCTTACATTCTTCATGACGCCAACAGCCTCCTCGGTCTGTGTCACGAATTCGTCTTCGGCCTTTTCGATCTCCTCCTGGGCCTCAGGGCTAAGCTCATGAGATTGGGGTTGATCACCCTGTGCGGAGCCC